ATACTACTGTGCCATTTTGCCGATCGATTAGCCGCAGAAATTCAATGTGCCGCAGACGGAAATGTTCGTACTATTGAACGGAAATCACTGAGGAATACGTCGCCTTTAAGACCTAGGCTTGACATGGCACAAGTGTTAACAAGTTTGAAAAAGACTTTTTAGAATATAAGATTGAAATATAAGGCAATGTTCAGTGATGAGTTAATATATCTTAGTAAACTGGGTGGAAAATTTGCAAAATTGCATCACAGATTGCTATAGGATGTTAAATTAATCTCGGTTAATAGAAATAAATACCACCACATATCTACAGAAACTTGGTATTTCAATAATAATTTTCTTGCCACATAATTTTTCCAAAGTTTGAGTTTGAGCATATCTGTGCAAGAAGTTAGGAGGCAACAAAGTGAATAATAATATGCATCAAAGTCAATCAGATGCATGATATGATTCTCAGCATATCAATATACAGTTTTCTGTCTGATTTATTCCAGTAATACAAAAGATACAGAATACAACAGAAGAATGGCAATCAATACATAACACTAAACCTGGTAAATGCTGTAATCAATTTAAGTTATATCATAGAAAAAAAATCAATTAAACACATAATTAAAGCAATCCAGATTTAATTCAAGGTTTTAAACAGAAAAAACCTCCCAGTCAGCCCACTCAAAATCAGCTGACGAACACTTGGTATGCATTTTTTTTAGCATAAGGTGAGCAAATTTCACCATCACCAAAATGTAAATTATCTGCAAAGAACCCTGACCCAAAAACAGGAAAACGATCCTCATGATCCCAAATGACCTGATGAGCATTAACAACAAAACTTACTATACTCTCCTCCAGATTATCTTTATTTAATGCAAATATAAAACTTTCTTCAGTGTCAATAAAACCATTTTCTTTGAGACCCCATGCAATTGGATTGTATCTACCAAGTATTTCTTTGGTGCCTGATACTTTTCCAACAGCAATTGTAGGCCCTTTGTTATTACACAATTCTCTGAATTTTGCTACTGTGTTACCATCTCTACTTTGTCTATAAAGTAGACTAAATTTATAAACCTGGTTTTGCTTCCTAGATGTCCTTTTATTTTCTTGGAGTCGCTTTGTTGATTCCACAATCTTTGACAAGATCCATTCCACTTGTTGTTCATTAATTATGAGTGAATCAATACACCTCTCTGTTGGTAGTAGTAGTAGATTGTAGTTCCTTTTAGCATGATAATTCATTATATCACGGCGCAATTTCCTTGTTAATAAGTCATCATACAGGACAATGGACTTAAGAGAAATGTTAAAAAACCTTATGTGAGGTATGCAATCAGCTACGATAACCATTGTGTTGGCAGTAAGTAATGACAGCATGCATGTTTGAACATACACATCTCTGAGAAACTGTTGATAATGCACTTTTACACATATGAGGTTACCTAAGCAAAACTTCGAAAACGTCAGGTGTCATATCTTCAAACGTCATGGCTGCTCTTTGAATGCTTTCAGATGCTTCCGTCAGACTTTTCTCAAGAAATGTGCTTCTTGCACATAATACCGAAGCATGAGCGAGAAATATTTTGCTGTTTGGCTCCTTTCCAACGTGAATTGAAACATCAGTATATTTACCACTTTCATAAAGTTTCTCAAAGTCAGACGAAAGACCTGAGGGTAAATCAACAATGTTATTCATGCCAAAGTTTGAAGAAGACATGTCGGCAGGGGTAATAGTTACGGTACCACTTGCACTGTTATTCACGTAATACACTGCAATTGGCCGGCCGAAATTATTAGCCCCTTATACTTTTATGTACAGACTATAAGTAGTTAAGAGGCTTCGCCTCCGTTTTCATGATCACAAATTTAATGACACAGTTGTCTTCTATTCTTGCAGGACTAGTGAATGTATAAACATGAGTTGGTTTTCACTGCCAATTCAGTAGGTTCTTCAAAGTTACAGCGTAAGGTTTGGATGTCGTAACCTGTCAACGATTGGAGTACTAAATACGGAACAAACGGGTGTGAAAGTGATAAACAAGTGAATTGCGAATTTTGAGTTCATTTGATCGTGTGTTGTTAGTTATCTTTGGAAAAGCAATTTCAGCCGTATACAATAATGTTGTGACTGTAATTTTATTTTTTTTGGGAAAAGCAATTATATTGTGAGTTGTTAGAATTTCAATTTATCTCTGCCAAAGTCGAAAGTGACGCCACTATCAATATTCCGTGGAAAAAATAATACTCTTATTGGCCAAACTAGAGAACAAAGAATTGCACAAATTCGCCAAGAATAACCTCTACAACCACCATCTCCTTGCAACGCACTGAGCAGTGCGTCGAAACAAAGAAGCACAAAATTAGCGATATTTGCAAAAAATTTCTCGCTAATCAATCTTTAGAAAATGATAGAATTACCAAAATAGACACTCACATTAACACAAATAACGAAGAAATTGTTATCATTGACAATAATGATGAAGTTGTCATTGAACAATCAAATACAAGAAAAAGACGTACAGCTAGAAACAACACGAATAAGAAACAGAAAACAAAATAAGTTACCATTTTACTGATATTAGATATTACATTATTGTTAAAAAAGATGCATATTTTATATACTTTTTTTTGTCTATGAGTTAAATCTTTAATGAATAAATGCTAAACAGGAAATCGATCAATTTCATTACAGTCGACCTCCATATATGCACGCCAAGTCTTATTCTCAAGCTCGGGAGTTAGTAAATATATGCACTCCCTCTATATTCTGCATTGCGCGGTGTTGTTCACTTCCACAGACATAAATGATGATCGAAAAAATGTTCAAGTTGCATTCTGTGTTCACGGCGCTATGACAAACCTGAATCCACATTAACAGATCCTTCTCTTTTGCGACGGTCGCTGGATAACTAAACAAACAGTATACTTCTACAATGGTGGTCAACGAGCTTCCGAGAACACAATTATTCAAAACTCATTTGCTTTAACAGTTCACAAAACACAAGGCCTCACATTACCTTGCGTCTCCTTAGCACTTGACCAAACTATATTCTCAGCAGGACAAGCTTATGTTGCCTTAAGTAGATGTCCTAAATGGAAACATGTTCAAATTATGAGCCTACACAAAGATGATTTCAAAACGGATCCTGAAGTAACTAAAGAATACCCACATAGGTTGTCTCCTTCGTTTTCTGCACTCTCTCTCCATATTCTCCATAATCGTACACACACGTTTTGTACCTTGAAATAAAGTCTTACATGCCTATAGTTTCTTGGTGTATATTCGCGAAAATGCAAAATGGAACTATCCAATTTGTAAGCGCGAGATCAACACGTTCTTGTCGAATACATTTGCGCACATGAATGGATAAACATTCAACGTGAAAATTGTAATCATATGGGCGGATTTGGCTCATCAAATCCGAGTTTGAATCATTACACTGATCTGCATGATCTGCATTTATAGTTTCCAAACCCGCTATGTGATATTTGCTGAGAAAAATCTGAATCATGTGAGCATTCAGTAATTATTGCTACTTTGTTTACATGTTTACCTGTGTAAAGATTATCTTCATCTCAAGGCCTAACACATAGGAAACGAACGCTATCGCAAGCACGAAACTGCCCAATGGATAAATATATCAAAGTAAAGGGTAGTGTATTCACCTCTACTCTTGAGTAGTGCATTCACCTCTACCCTCAGGTAGTGCATTCACCTCTACCCTCGGGTAGTGCATTCACCTCTACCCTCAGGTAGTGCATTCACCTGTGCTTTTGCACAGCCTTATTTTGTCACTACCTTTGTTGTAGTGTATCGTTCTGATCTCTTAATGCTAATATTTATTTAATTTATATATTAATATAGGAATTGCAACACCACCACCGTTGTATAACAATTCATGTTGCGGGCAGCTGCAGTGCTCAGTGTTAGTGGCAGGGGAGATCGCAGGAGTAACTGCAAAACAACTAGATACATGGCTATCGACGGTTACTCCTGTCAGATTCATACATATAATTAAAAAGACAGAAAAAAGGTATAAAAGTAATAGTGTGCTTTATTTGATGGTGAATGTAATGAATTAAATCTGACGGTTTGTCTAATGATCAGTTACGGGCATATACACTTTGGGTCACATGCACTAGCAAGCGAATTCTACAATGCAATGAACCAAACGACATTCAAGTTTGGATGTAGAAACGTTCGCTTCAGTGCCACCAAGAAGTTCTCAGGGAAATTAATAATATACCAGGTATGTTTGTTATGTTGTACTCAACGTTTATTAATAAATCCAATATTAGAATGAAGAACTCCCAAAGGCCAAGTCAGTGCCCCACGCATTATATCGCAAAAAAGGGTTTGTATTTATATTTATTATTATCCCAATCAACAATAAAATTGTATAAGATGTTATTAACCAAACTCTTTGTCATTGAAGATGGTTTGTAATAATCATCCATGCACCGGGTATTAAGAAAGACCAAGTAAAGGTCGTGGTGAGCAGGGAAAACAACAAAATAATCACAGTAACAGGCGTTGTGCCTCCTCCCCCCTGCCAAAAAAAAATTCATAATAAATATGCTCCTGACGGGTGCTTTTGAGTTTGACATTGAACTCCCAGGAAAGTAAGTATTAGAAACAGGATAATAGTAATAGGGATGTGTTTGTAGAATAGTACTGATGTACAGTATTTCTCTTTAGGGTGGATACAATCAGGTTGCCGTACAAGATGGTGTCGTCACCATCAAGGTGCGAGAAGCACCGGAACAACAATACATCAAGTTTTCAGTAGTCAATGATGAGGATAGTGACTTATGAGATTGATGAAGCAATATCAAAATAAAAAAACGAGTTGCTTGTAATGTCGAACCCTAGTTATAATTATTTTTGTAAATGTCTACTGATCTGCATGCACAGCCCGGTTTAGCACGAGTTTTTTATATTAATATTAAATGACATCACTGATTTCCGATGATGTAGCAATGCGCCAGAGTAATTCGCATATGACTCTTGATGTTAGATGTACATACTTGTCTGTTCTCGGGTTTGCTGGCGAGCGTTTGTGCTGATAAAGTAGCAATTTCGGTACGATGTTGTGATGAACAGAAGCCATTCTAATGATTTCAAATGTAGAAGAAAAGAAGCTTCTACTTGAGCTCGTATCACGAAAATCAGCTTTTAGGACCGTTACTGATCTGATATTAATATAGGCATGCATCAACTCATCCCCATTAGTATAGTTAACACTTATAACTACTCAATCAATTGAATGATACACCTGAACTAGCGG